AATTTTGTGTCCAAGTTGTAGTCCCCTGAAAGGATGTGGTAGCTAGGTGGGGTCCAGCCCCTTCTCCCAACTAGCAAGTGACAAGAGGAAATGACCTCAAGTTGCACCAGGGGAGGTTTAGATTTGGTATTAGGAAAAATTCCTTCACTGGTAGGGAAGGAACTGGTAAATATTGGAACAGGCTGTCCAGGGAAGTGATAGAATCACCATCCCTGGAAGTGTTCAAGAGGTATCTATTTTGTTTTGTTTCACTGGGGTTTGTTTTGTTTTTTAAATCTGTGTATTTCTTGCACCCCATCTGTTCTGTATGTTGTAAGACTTGGGCAGATGCTTTCCTCTCCATGTTTCAACAGTGCCTGGCAGGGACTCGTAACTGGAAGTCCACGTTCTACTGAATTGTGGTAATAGAAGAATAACCCAGATCTCCTGAACCTCCTCACCCAAAGTGTTAGCTGTAATATCACCAATTGGATGATCAATTGCACGTGTAAAGTTTACTGTTAAAGTGATTGTGTGCGTTGTGATTTATAAATCATATCACAGGCAGAAGTAGGAATTACTTTGGTCCCAGGCAGCAATGTCAGGTTTCAGCACATCTCTGACTGGAAATGGTTGAGCACTGCAGAACAGATTCACTGACTCAACTCCCATTGGAACTGAGAGAAAACATCTTGTGATCACCCTAATCTATGTTTCCTGTCTGTGGCTTTAAATTATGACACAATAACCTGTACTCTGTCAAAATGTGTTTCATTTCACGAAAGAAATCTTGAAACATTAATTACTAAAAGGCCTTGTGGTTTCTTTTTGCTATTGTAGTATGAGCATAAACCTGCAGTACTTTGTAACTTACAGCAGCAGTTAAAAAGAGACTGTTTACAAAATCATGGAGTAGTTGAGGTAGGAAGAGACCCTGAATTTCATCTGATTTAATTTCCACTGCTCAAAGTGGCATCAGCTAGAACAAGTTACCCGGGACTGTGTCCAGATGGGTTTTGAATATCTCCAAGGATGGAGACTCCACCACCACTCTTGGCATTCTGTTCCAGTGTTTGACCACCCTCACCATACCAGATTCTTCTGTGCAACTGCACAAAGACCTCTGAATTTTTCTTGTTTTCTCCCTGTCTACATGCATTACTGTACAGGCACTTCAGAGCCACCTAGTCCAGTTGATTTCTCAGAAAAGTTGTAAGTGCTTTGCCCATGACACTTTCCTGTAGGTATACCCTCATTTATGTGCACATACTTCATGCAGTCACCCTCAGCACAAGATCTCTCTTGACCATAGTACCCTGCAGTCTTTGCTTCACCACTACCTCCCCATCATCCCTGTTTTAAAGCTCTCCTCGCCAGGCTGATCAGCCTGTCGGCAGGGATGTTTTGCCCTATTTTTCATTCTTATTCAAGGCATCTTGAGACCAGTGGAGCCACAGGCAAAGCCACATGTGACTTAGACGCAACAGTACTGATAGAATAGGACAATGAGGAATGTTTGTGTGAGGAGCAGTGATGGGAGTGGAAAAAGTGAGAAGGCAGTGAGTCAGGAAATAGCCCTCTCTCAATTGAGAAAATAATTCAACAAAAAGGGGAAGCAGTTGTGTGCTTATGACATTTATTTAATCTTTAAAATCTTTGATGGAAAATACTTGTGTTTTGAAGATCTCAACTGCCTGTTGTTGACACAATTTGGCTGAATTCATGTGTGCATGAATACATATACATACATAGACGGCCAAAGAAAATACTTCTTAGTGAATAAAAATTGTTTGACTCTACTTAAAAAAGAAAAGAATCCACAATATGTATGACCCACCCTGTATATGATCATCAAACTGAAACATTCATACAGCATTTCTCCCACAGCATTGTAAAATTATGAACAACAAATATAGAATCAAATTCTGTCCTTCATCCCTATGATGGACAGCTTATTCCAGACTGTGCTTTAATAGTCTTTCCTGCACCCATGTGTCAGATTAAATGGTAGAAATGCCAACTGGATGATAAAGTAGTATCATTTCTGGAAGTATTGGCTTTTAAAGTTAATCTTCAATAGGATGCTTTACTGCAGGCATGTGCATACATCAGATAACCTTGGCATGCAGAGAGTATTTTAAGACCCACATAATTTTCAAACACCCTTTAATATTTAGTGAGAGTCATGATACATTCCATGCACATAAGATCAGAGGTAGACCTTCCAGGCTTGTTTTACTTCTCAGGATAGATGCCAAATTGGGAACCCACAGTGATGTATTTTGTTTTTCTCTAGGCAGTTAATGTGGCAGAAGAAGCTTTTCCATGTTGTTCCATTGACATCTGAGCCCTGGTCTTGGTCAACCATCTCACAGAGATGGCAAGGAGAATAATAAATACAACTGTCTTCACACGCTTATCTTTTAATCTGAGATTTCCAAAACAAATGCTGCCAACTAATAAGGTATGCTAGTATGGATTCTGGGATCTTGAAGTGTGATGTCAGAAAATTCACTGTAGTAGCTAAACTCCAGCACCTGGTGCTACCAGTACTGTCCAGAATCAACCTGTTAAACCAGAGGCAATACTATCCATAACTACTTCTGTTCTCTTTCTGTTTATCCACTGACGATACAAAAAAAGAAAAAAAAAAAGCTCCTTCCTTAAACTTTACATTTAACCAATGTAATTTTATATCCACACATTCACAAAATAAAAGATTCAGAGATTCAGAGATTTTGTAGCAAACCAACATGCTTACAGATTTTCACATTGAGCTAGCTGCTACTTAGAAGGAGGAAGAAGTACATGTAAGATTATATTCAAAATAATTCTATGAAATGTATCTGGTCCCTTTATGCAGCAACCTGCTACACGAGGGAGAGGAGAAAAGCATATCCTGGCCTTGATCTCAAAACAATGTAAACCACTTTTAGTATGTTGACTTGTAGAACAAGTGAGGCATGAAAACAAAAGCACAAAGCTCTCAGTAGTGGCAGTGAATATTTTATCTTACCAACAGAAAGCAACAAGAGACTAAATCTTTAAAGCATATGCTGTGCTGACAGTGCTCACTCATTGTGGCATTTGCAACCCCAGCTGCATTCGAGCTTGTGCCGTAGACGCACCGTAAGAGTGTGTTGCTCCTATTGCCCTTTACTGGCCCTTACCCAGGTGAAGGAGCTTTTCTCTGTTGCTCATACTGCCCTGTATAAACAGATGTTCAAACAATTATTTCTTTCCCTGAAGTGAAATTTGAGAGATTTTAGCATCATTAGCTCTTCTGAAATTTTCACAGTTCTGAAAAGTATCTCTAGATGACTGTAGCTTTTTGTATGTAAACCAACCTTCCTGACCTTTTGCAAATATCCAGTGTAAATGCCATTCTAAAATTCAGTGACTGAGTCCTTATAGAAATGTTGAAGCAGGAGTACCACTGTTATTGCTGTGTTGTTGTTTGAGTGCAATTGGTAAGAATATTTAGAGGGTGATTCAGTGCTATGGTAGCAAATATTCACCACTCTCTGTCAGAGATCATTTTGACTAAGTCTAATGAGTTAAGAGTTAGTTTGCTGATTAAAGATAAAGGAAGATGCTCCTCTGGGAATGTGTTTCAATGTGTGTGCTCTCTGATTTTTCCTGGTACCCACTTGTTTGTTGTTCTCTCTCAGCTGAGGCATGAGATTCAGAGGGAATTGGAGAATGTTGCTTATAAATTATGGAGTTACTGCCTCATCCTGTCATCAATTATGTCAGTCTATCCTTCACTACTCAGCTTTTTCTCCTATCTTTTGTCAACTTGTAAGGTTTTTACCTTCCCCAGTAAAGGCTGTTCGCCATCACTGCATCCATTCTCAGTCCAGGTCTTTTGTGTGGAATCCCAATAGTCCGACACTGATTTCTTGTTTCCTACTTCATATTCGAGCAATTCAGGAAGTTTTGGGTGATTCACAAGTGCAATTACATAGTAGCATTTCAAGACATCCCCAGTACTGATTCGGAGAGACTGCTTTGAAGAATGTGGGTGACTAGCTTTAGAGAAAGTAGGGAAACGATGTGGATTGTGGTTTGGTAAAGGAGGGGTAAGCAGAAGGCACAAGCTAAATCCTGGAATTATACATAATAAGCATAATTCCTGCTAAATGTGACCAGTTGGGTTCTGCGCTATGCAGAAGTAAGAGCAGCAACCAGTTCACTTCCAGCTCAGCTTCATTCTTAGGTTTGATATCCCGTTTCAGAGCTGCTGCCAGGCTTCTTGGCACCCTCTCCATCTCCTACAGCCAAACCCACAGAAGAGCCTTCAGCAGCTCCAGCGTCCCAGGCAAGCTCTGGTTTCAGCTCAGACACAGCATGCCCACCTTCCTACCAGAGATGTCAGTAGTCAGGAAGGCAGGTACTCCAGCATAGAACAAAAGCTTTTCTACCCTTAGAAGTGGGGCTATTCTGGTAGATACTCCCAATATAGCTTTAATCCAATTAGCTGGGGTACCAGTGGCAAATGGGTCTCCATAGTGCTATGGAGATTCAGGCACCCAAACCTGGGTGCTGGCTGCAGGCTGGATTCTCAGCTCCCAGATATTCATTGCTATTGCTACCTGGGCATAGTGAATTTAAATTGGGAATTACCCACATTTCTGCATTTACATTTCTGACTGTACTGTAGGTGTTTGTTTTATCCTCACACTATGGGCATTTTGTAATAGGAATATTATGTAGATGGGCCAAAATAATAAAAAAAAATTTACAACTAAGTTTCTTTATTAAGTTGCTAAAATGTAAATTCATTCACTGACTAAACTCTCTTGAAGTATCAACATGGCTTCTGACCTGATTGTAGTTTAAGTTCTTTCCCCAAGCAACTGTCAAGCAAAGATACTCCTAAAATAATAGGGGGAAAAATAATGCCACAGGGATAAGTTTCTTGGGGATGAGAGGATAGGATTGTTTATCATCTAACAATGTCCTACTTTTATTGTAATTTTAAAATCCTTTTTTTTACAGATAGACTTTCTGGCCAAGCTTCAGATGCTTTTGTTTGAGTAGCCGCAACCTCCCTATGGACTCAACAGATGTATCACGAAATGGCATTGCTCACTGGGAATGCAGATCCTGAGTTCAGCACTTATTCCTTCAACAACTTGGAAAACCTGTGTGAAGTGCAAACCAAGAAAGGATTCTTCTACAAAAAGGCCAAACTTTTGCATCCTGGAGAAGACTTGTGCTGCTTAGCTCGCATCGATGACCGGTCCAGGTTTGTGATCATCAATGTAGGCGGTATTAAATACAAAATTCCATGGACCACCTTGGAGAACTGCCCCTTGACCAGGCTTGGGAAGCTAAAGTCTTGCAACAACTATGATGAGATCATGAACATCTGTGATGATTATGATGTTAGCTGCAATGAATTTTTTTTTGACCGTAATCCTAGTGCCTTCAGGACAATCATGACTTTCCTGACAGCTGGGAAGCTGAGGCTTCTCAGGGAGATGTGCGCTCTTTCTTTCCAGGAGGAGCTTGTGTACTGGGGGATAGAAGAGGACCACCTGGAGTGGTGCTGTAAAAAGAGATTGCGACAGAAAGAGGAAGAGGCAGCTGAGGCCAGGCTGTTTGAAAGGGAGATGGTATTTAGTGAAACTGCGCAACGTGCCTTCCAGGACACTAGCCGGTTGAGTTTGTGCATGAGAAGGCTTAGGGATATGGTAGAGAACCCCCACTCAGGGATCCCAGGGAAGATCTTCGCTTGTATTTCAATCTCTTTTGTTGCCATCACTGCAGTCAGCCTCTGCATCAGCACCATGCCAGATGTCAGAGAAGAAGAAGATCGGGTGAGTGCAGCTTTTTTTGGAGTAAAGCGTGTTTTGCATTTTGTCTCCTCGGGGAAGGTGACAGGCAAAATCATTCCAGCAAATATGAAGGTTTTGCATTCAGTACGTAAGGAGTGGAGGGCTGTCTGGGGTAGAGCACACAAAGCATTACGTCACTTCAAACTGAGGGAAGATTGGGCCAAACACTGCCTTGCCAGAACGGCTTTGGCAGTTCACACCAGCAGATAGTTTTGCCCAACAGGTTTGTTTTCTGACATCTCTAACCAGATGACAAACCAGCTATTGTGGGGATAAAAATCAGCCTTGATTGTGGCTTAATGTTTTGAGATTAGGTTTAGAGTTAACAGAGCAGTTTTCCCTAAGGGTACTTTAACACTTTGAATGAACTCTCAGTACCCCAGTGTAAAAACCATATCTAAAGTATTTTGATGTTATAGGGTGAGATAAAGGCCAAGGAAGCTGAGGCAGCAACTTAACAGCAGAAACAGAGCAATTGTCCCAATTTTCAGATATGTTTAGTATTCTCAAGTGTAAGCTGTGGATGATTTATGCCCTTGAAAATCAAGTCTTACATATATTTTGTTTATTCTTCAGTTCACCAAATTCCCTAAGGGTTTAGTCCCTTATTTTGTGCAAGCAGTTCACTTTCCTAGGATTAATTCTATGTATGCCAGTGAGAGCTTATCTGAAAAATGATAGAGGAGGACATCATGTTTTATTTACATATAGGCTGAAATGCAGTCTAAGGGATCTGGGAGGTGGGGATGTTTTGAAGAGTTCATGGCCTTTCTCATTTTACCCAAGTCCAAGCTTGGTACTAAATGTGTGGGCTTATTTCCCAGCCCCATGGTTATTAAATGTGGTTGTGAACTTCAGCTACTAACTACTTCACCCCCCGAAGTTCTGCCTCTCAGCTGAAAGCTAAGCGCTCCTGGAAGCAGCAATCTCCCTGTGTGCCATCACCCAGGGGCTGGATGGCTCGTCCCCCAATGCCACTAGCAGAAAAGAGGGTGGTCATTTACTGTTTTGTTGCACTGGAAATAAAATGTATGCTGATGGAAGATGGGTCCAGCCACTGCAGAGAGACCCCTGCGTTTGACTGATTACCTCATGTACCATTAAATCCACCCTTTGCTTGCCAGGTCTGTTGAGATTGCACATCAACTGAGTATTTTGATATGGAATCAGACTCACTCAGTAGCAGCCAAATAAAAAGATGAACCATTTGGTATGTTAATTGATATATGATTTATTATAAGATCTCTATTTTAAAGCCTTTTTATGGTTTAAAAGTTGAGGATACTGGGTACTAATTAACACTATATTGTCCTAATAATTTTAAAAGAAATATCATTTCCAAAACACATGTCTTTTACTCTAATTAACCATCAGTTCTCCAGTATCTTGGAATTCTAAGCACAAGGGATATTTTACTGTTGAAAACTGAGGTGTATTTAGTGTTCAAATGTTCCTGGGTTTAAGTGAGAGCTGAGCAATTACTTCTAGAATTCACAGAGGTTAGGCACCTTATATTATTATTAATGGTATAAACATAAATAGGGACTCATAATAATTGGCTAATAATGTTTTGTTGGGTGGAGCAGGGTAATAGTGAGGATAAAGCAAGAGTATGAAAGAAGCCTGGATTTCTTGGTAAGCTGGGACCATTAGAAGTAGCACATTTTCATAATCAAATGCAAAACTGTGCAATAAAGATGAATGCAGACTTGCTCTTGTAAAAGCAGAGTCTGACTCCCAAAATGAGATTCTAAATAGGATTTAGGGTACAACTACTGTAAGTTCCTATTGCAGCATAAAGTCAGAAGGGTTAATGTCACCCTTGAGTATCTAAGCTGAGGAGCAGTGATTAGAAGCTGGAAGATTTCTTGTGCCTGTATTGGTGAGACTGACATTAGAATGCTGCAGTCGACTCTCACATTACTATTTTTAATGGTGTTTTGAAAAAGTGGAAAAGGGTGAAAAAACCTGTAAATCTTAGACACCTGTAGAAAATGCCATACAGTAAGAAACTTGAACATTTCAGTTAAATTGCATTATTGGGAGGAAGGTGAGTGGATTAAGCACATAAGTGTTTTTTTATGAGGGGAGGAGAACTGTATCATCTAAAAGACCTTTAAATTAAGCAAGGAGATGATGCATGGATAAAAGCTGAATCCTGGGAAATTCATATGGGAAACTATATGCCAATTTTTAATACCACAGTGATTAATTACTGGGACAGACTAGGAAGGGAATTAGTGGATTTTGTATTTTTAGACTTTTTCAGTTCAAAGCTCAGTGCCCTCCTGGTAGGTAGCCTTCAGCTAAACACACTCTATTTCAATCAAAAGTAAATTACCAATCGCAGATCAAGTTACAAAAGTGAAATGCTTGCAATGCAGAGAAGATCAGAATAAATTCTCCTATGTTTTTCTGTGTCCTTACATTCTAAAAGCACAGAGCTCCTGCAAATAATCTTTGTTCTGCTCTTTGCACAGGGAAGGTCTGTGGACAGATTGGAAAGGGGTATTTTGTTTGAGACAAAGGTGGCTCTCTTGCACAGGGGACAGGTGAAGGATCACTTCTGGCTGGGTAGGGAATCAGGCATCTGCCCACATGGAATCACTTGTAAGGTCAGAAACCTAGGCTGCAAACTCTTTGTGTGTACTCTCTATGTGGCTTAGCAAGCCAATGCAGCTCTTCACATAACAGGTGTGGAGAGAAGAGAGATCATGTGAGTTCAAATTCATGTTAATCATTCTGAGCTGTGTCCCCAATATCTAGATTAAAATTTGTGCCCAGCGATAGTTCTTTGGTCTGGTTTTGCAGTCTCCTAACAAGCAGAAAATGGATTTTCCAGGTTTTCTGGCTGGCATTACTGTTGTTATGGTTCTGTGTCAGAGCTGGTGTTTTTACAGAAAACAAGAGCTCTATGTGCCATCTATCTCTCCTGTTATTGCTTCAGGGAAAGACAGAGGAACCAATCATGAAAAAACCCATGCTGTGGTTTTGCTGGGGGAAGCAATTTTCCATACCCCAATCCTTTAATACCATCTGAATGGATGAGCTGTTACACCCAGTGATGTCCTGCAGAGGTGTAAATGACCTCAGACAAGATGCAAGTGTGGGATCTTGAAAGTTAGAAGTAATGACCAAGTGGGTGAGGAAATTATTTAAGGTGCCTGCCTATCTCTTTTAAAATACAGCAGAAGACTCAATCATACATTTTGTTAACTTTATCAAATGGTCCAGATGTTCTGGATGACAGTTGCAATCCCTAGTGGTTTAACAAGAATGGTTTAACAGGGAAGGATGGCGTTCCCCTGTACTGTATATGTCTTGTTCTTACTAATGGTCACCTTGATTCACCTTGTGTTACTCTTTTTGGGAAATAGTATCATGTGTTTCAGATGCTGCACAATTATCAGTAAAGTTAACAGAATCAGATACTAAATTATGTTTTACTTACTGAACTAGGACATATATTTTGTCAATTTTTTCTCATTTAGCTTTTATTTCCTGATTAAATTAAATAAAATCCACTGGTCCAGTAATATGTATAATAGCTGCTTCTGGAAATTTCAGGAAAGGGATACTTCAAATGTATAAAGAAAACAAACCTGTGAAGACAGTCACATTCTTCTGTGTAAAGTAACAAGACAATGCTAATTTTTTAATTTCAAAATTTTCAGAATGGGAGATTTCTATGTAAGATTTAGATTTAATGGTGAAAAGTCTTCTCTAAAGGTAAAATCTGCTGAGACAGAATCGTAGCAGGAACCCTCAGTCACTGAGTTCTTTCAAGACCACCACAAAAGTCATCTCCAAGATGTAAAAATATCCAGAGGCATAAAAATATCCTTAAGGCATTTTAGGCGTATGATACCTTTAAGTGGGCTTCTCAACTCTGTAAACAAATGGCCAGGCATTGAGTGACTTAAGGAAAGCAGCTAATACATCAGAGCCTTAAAACAGATAGGGATACCTTACAGCAAAAACTTTAAACACAGTTGGAGCTGAACAACCAAAAGACATTGAGAGATTCAGCTTGAAGCCAGATGGTCATCATATTGAACTCTTCATTTTTTTTCTTGTTGAAAACAGAAATGTTGACCATTTCTATCTGAAGAAGTCTTCTTTCTTTTGTTAGACAACCTTCTTCATCACAGAAGAAAGGGTAGTGAACTCAGACATTAACATCAAATAATTTGTTCTGATTCACAAAAGCATTTATAGGCCTGAGTACCCCTGAGCTCAATCATTTGTACTACCACAGTGTAAAACAGGAGAAGCAGATCAGTGGTTGGGTGCTGGAACAGGCTCCCCAGGGAAGTGATCACAGTACCAAGCCTGACAGAGTTCAAGAAGCATTTGGATGATACTCTCAGGTACATGGTGTGACCCCTTGGGAATAGTCCTGTGCAGGGCCAGGAGTTGGACTCAATGATTCTTGTGAGTCCCTTCCAATTCAGCATATTTTGTGATTCTGTGATACTTCCTTCTTCACCGTGCTTCCTAACGTGTTGGGAAAAGCTAGCCTAATTAAAGATGCTGTGATAGGAAGTTACAGTTCAATAACCTTCAGCTAAAGAACATTACAACAAAGAAAGAGGTTTATAAATAATGAAGTTAATAATAGCTCATAAAGAAGCCAAAACCATTTAACCTTCTAAGCTTAATTTACACGCTGTTCTTCAACTTTCATAATGTTGATAATAGATAAATGGTGAATGTGTGTTTTAAACAATCTTGTGACTAAAGATTTCATTTCACAAAGGTACACACAAAAGTAATCTCAGACAAGGTTAAAAGAGTCTTGTATAATGATTCTCAACAGCTTTTCGTAGACAAGCTGCTGCTGTAAGGGGTGCATGAGCAGACAGTGAGGTGGATTGAAAATTGGCTGAATGGCCATGCCCTGAGCATGGTGATCAGTGACACAAAGTAGTTGGAGGCCACTAACTAAACTAACAGACCCAGGGCTCTGTACTGGGTCCAGT